CCCCTCCTCAGTATTAGGAGCAGGGACCGACTGGTCGAGGGCACTGACTGGAGAATTATACTAGCGTACATGGTTTCTGATAGTGGGAGAAACTGGAGAACCCAGAGTAAACACACACAAACACAGGGAGAACGTGCAAACTCCACACAAAAAGGCCCTGCCCCCCGCCAGGAATCAATCCAAGTGCTGCCTGTGGCTAATGTTATTTTCATAATGATCCATACTGCCTGAAGTCTAGCAGCAGAGGTTAAGTGACAATGTGCAAATACTACTGCCGCATTTGTGGGTGAACTAAAAAAAACACAGGCCGCTACAAAAATAGGTTTAGGCATAAACTAAGAGTATATGCCACACACACACCACTGCAGTTTGCACATTACTGCATTTATCAAAATGCTGTTATAGCAATGCTTCATTCAAAAGCTTTTCTTTGAAGGGTTGAACTTTAATTTCATATTTACAAAAACAGATAATTCAAATATTAAAACAGTTGAAATAAGACAAAAATAAATCTAGAAGTAAAATATGATATCACATGTGATAACCAATGAACGCCTGTATCCAATAAAAGAACATATCAGTTCTCCATAACAATATATTGTTTTTATTTATTGGTGTGTGTGTGTTGTGTTAAAGACTTACCAAACACAGCTCCAGCTGATCGCAGAGAGCATAAAATTCTTCTAGGCTTTTGTCAAAGCGCTGCACAGAGGTGTCGCTGCTTTTGCTAAACCAGAAGAAATAAAAAGCAGATCAAAATCTGACACCTGGCTGACAGAAACATCTTTGTTCAGCACCATTGTTGTAACGTTTCCCACCCAAACAGGCAACTCAACTTACATGCCGTTGTCAATTGTGGTGTTATGGGCCAAATTCAGGGATGCAATCTTCATTAAGTTCTGAAAATGCAAAAATAAAGCGATACGTTTAAAGCACATAGCTACAAACATTTAGTCCATGTGTGAAAGTACAGTAATTCGACTGTGAACTTTGCTATTGTCACCAGATGTTTCGGGTGTTTTCGATGCGCCACAATCACCTGCAGACTCTCCTTCAGCTGTGGAATAAGCATTTTAAACCTATGAACTGGATCAAAGTCTTGCTGTTGGCTCAGTTGTTGTTGTTGTTGTTGTTGTTGTAGTGAAGCAGACTGCTGTAATCCGGGCTGAGACATCGGCCCACCGGGCTGCTGCTGTTGAGACGCCATCTTGGCCGGCTACGACGCACAAGCCGGAAGAAGTGTGAAACATCCGGTTTGTCGTTTTTCAAAATAAAAAAACGTTTCTTCAACCACATAGCTTTCAAACTTCAAATCTAAACACTCACCGCCCTCTGTCTGTGGCGCTATTACAGCACTGCCCACCCCGCCAATACCTCTTTCTTTGTACAACTCATTTGCATTTATATTGTACATATACATACATGTTTCATTTGTAAACACAATATAGTTTTTTTTCTTCAGTTTCCCTTCCTTTCCTTCACACTAGTTTATATTATAATTCTATTGTATTTTTATTTATTTGTCTTAGTCATACATTTCTCTGTGTATAGCATGTAGCCTCTAATAATAGCTCCCAGCTGTTAAAGCTGTTGTTGTTGTTGTGTCCAATCGATGATATAGTCTACTCTGTACACTGTAAAGGGCAATATATTTCAATTTTATTAGTTGGAAAACTTGTAGTGATCTAAGCTAGACATTAAGAAGACATTTTAGTCAGATGGAATTTTACAATTCTCTATATCCTTTAATATCTCTGAGTACTACTACTACCACTGCTACTACTATAATAATAATAATAATAATCATAAAAAACAATGTTGTTTTTCTGTATATTGCTATGAAACAATTGGGATCACACTGTTATATAACTGTAGTTTAAGTTATTGAATATTTTTTTTATTTACTTTATATGTTCATTACACTATTGACATTTGGTGTAAATATTGTGATGGTAAAATACGAATAAACTAAATCTTAATAAGCTTAATTCAGGACATTGGCTGCTAATAGACAATTAATTACTTTAACATCTTTAATCAGTGAGGAAATTTATTTATTAGACAGTGTCGAAGTTGTTGTACTATTGGCCGTTCAATGAGAGTTGTTGCTTGTCGGTTTTCTCGGCGGGCTCTTGAAGGCAGCAGCGGAGGAGGGAGGGCCCTGCAGCCGCTCTTCTCTGGCAGAAACCCCGTAGTGCAGCACAACAGCGCCATTCGGTAACTGCAATATTATCCAAAATGGCAGGAGCTGATGGAGACGACTCTCTCTACCCTATCGCCGTCCTCATTGACGAGCTGCGAAACGAGGATGTTCAGGTACAAACTCCTGCCTTCGACTTAAACTCGTGGTTTACGTTGTGAAGTGCAGTGAAGCCGTTTCGTCGTGTTTTTCCTCACCCGTGTATCTGATTACCAAGCTAACTGGAACAAATGCTAAGCTAACGTTCCCAGTCAAGGCCTATCGGGAATTTTCTGCCGGGCGCACCCTGACTTGGCACTTGATCGGGTTTGCTGTCACGATTTACGCCGTTTATTGTTAACCCAGAGCCACTGTTGGTGTCATTTTAGCTCGGTATATCAACTCAAAACGTAAAGGTAATCTGAGTAATTGGGTAAGGCCGACCAGGTCATCGCTTCAGCTACCAGCGCTAACATCGCATCGTTTGTATCCGAGGCGTTCAAGGCCGCAGCGGGCACAGCTAACTGTTGTTAGACTTGTTTCGTGTGTTGTGTCAATTATTGAACAGCTAACGTTTAAATTCAGCTGGCTTAGCGTTAGTGCATCGCCCAAATGAAACGCTGATTAACGTTAGCTAGCGTTAGTGCGAAGACGCGGACCGTAAGCCAAGAAAGTGATATAAATACTTGTATAATACAGTCTACTTATAGCGTGGGTCAGCGTTACTCGTTGACGCTGGTTATAAAATGTGTAAACACTTTTTTTTGTGTTTTGTCTGACTTAATTTATGTCCATTTTGTGTGCAGTTACGGCTGAACAGCATCAAGAAGCTGTCCACTATTGCTCTGGCCCTCGGTGTTGAGAGGACTCGCACTGAGCTGCTTCCTTTCCTCACAGGTAATAAAAGTCAACCACCTTTGTTGTTAAAATCACCTGATGTCTGATACAGCAGTTGTGACATCAGTGTTGCAAAATATGGTGTAAGTGTTTCACTTTCTGTCGTCCCTTAGACACCATCTACGATGAAGATGAGGTGCTCTTGGCCTTGGCTGAGCAGCTTGGCAATTTCACCATGTTGGTGGGAGGGCCGGAGTTTGTCCACTGTCTCTTGGTAAGTCACTGGAGAGTTGATTTAAATATGTGCGTCCCCTGTTTATTAAGTAGAGACAGAAAGCCCTAAAAGTCATTCAAGTCCATGTTGTCAACACAGTTTACTGCCATGTCCGTTGTAAGTGATGCACACGTTACATAATGCAAAGATACAGATATTGTTTTTAAGAGTTATTGGCTGAGGCTTAACCTGTGAGGCAGGCTGCGACCACTTAGACAGTAAAATAGCCACAAGGCTGCATTGTTTTGACATTTCTGAAATTACTTGACTCCCTAGCTGAGTGGAAACCCTTGTCTGGCTGTATTGTGTGTGTGTATAGACATTACTCATGGTATTACAACAATAGCAAGGAAGTGTGTACATTTATTGACATTGTCCTCTACCTGTATACACATTTGAAGTATTTAAAAACTACCTACACATCCCAGTGTTTTGTAGGGGTAGAAGGGGTGAAAGGGTTGACTATACTCCTATTTAACCTTGTTCCTTCTTGATACACAGCCTCCCCTGGAGAGCCTTGCTACAGTTGAGGAGACAGTAGTCAGGGATAAAGCTGTGGAGTCCCTGCGGAAGATCTCTCAGGAGCACTCTCCAGTTGATCTGGAGGTCCATTTTGAGCCTTTGGTCAAGCGGCTGGCCAGCGGTGACTGGTTCACTTCTCGCACGTCTGCCTGCGGCCTCTTTAGTGTTTGTTATCCCCGTGTTTCCAGCACTGTCAAGGCTGAGATCCGCCAGTAAGTTACTTCTTAACAAAGTGAAACCCTTTTTAAAGTGCTCTAAATCCTTGTTTTTGTTGGGTTCTGCAGTCAATATTGTGTCTTTAAAATAAAATGTTTGTTTCTAGGCATTTCCGCACCTTGTGCTCAGATGACACTCCTATGGTGCGTCGTGCTGCAGCATCTAAACTGGGGGAGTTTGCCAAAGTCTTGGAGCTGGATTATGTAAAAAGTGACATAATTTCCCTCTTCACTGCTCTGGCTTCTGATGAGCAGGTATGAGCACTTCTCTTCTTCTTAATCTAAACTGTTGTTGCACTCTGTGTTTTGCATTTTTGTTAAACCCAGGGATGGCCTAACTGATCCCTTTCCCTTTTTCCATCAGGACTCAGTGCGGCTGCTTGCAGTGGAGGCCTGTGTCAGCATTGCCACTCTGCTGCCCCAGGAGGACCTGGAGACACTGGTGATGCCAACCCTGCGCCAGGCTGCAGAAGACAAATCCTGGAGGGTCCGCTATATGGTGGCTGACAAGTTCTCTGAGGTAAGCAGCCCACTTCTTTTTCTAATGCATAATGTTATGTTAAAGTCTCTGCTGACGTATTCTTGAATCAGTGCCTATATTAGAGAGCAATGAAATGTTTTGTAGCACTGAAGTATTGTCCCATTGTGACTCTTAGATAATGTTGAAGCCTGAGTCAGGCTGCAGCAAGTACTTCCAGAGTGCTGGTGCTTCGACCTTTGCAAATGTCACAGTTTTAGTTCTTTTGTTATTTTAAATTTGTTTTCGTAGATCAAGAAGGACAGAGGACATGCAGAAGAAAACTGACATGAAATGTTATTTAGTACAAATTGTATGTAATGTAATTCGGTGGTTTAGCAGTCATGTGTGTGAAATTACACTTGTAGGCATCTTATAAATCAGATGTGCATGTCATACAATACTCTTCTGTATACAAAGGTTTTTCACACTGGAGCTATGTCCACTGGCCTCTGACTGCATGTGCTGGCTTGGCACACTGTAATAACTCAACAGCCCCTTGTGAATCTTGAATGTGTTGGTGATTAGCTCCATAGCAAACATTCAACATGTAAGGCAGTTTTAATTTGTTGAAAGCTGTAATTTCCCCCAATTCGACAGTTGGGTGCACTGATTCTCATTCCTTTTATAATTGTGTGCCGTGCTCGGCAAATCATTTCCCAGGCCCATCTCTGAACTGGGTCTAATGATATGATGGGATTTCACCACTAATCATTAAGGCTGTTTTTTTTTTGTTTTTTTTTTTTAAGAAATGTGAAGTTCATGCATAGGCATTATGTCTACCAACTTAATGTTGATGTGTGTGATGGCTAAAATATCTATTTGACTACATAAGTAAAGGTTCATATGGGCACCTTTTTAAAATCTCAGCATTTAGTTTTTAGCATTAAGAGTACTCACTATAGTTCCAGCCTGTTATATTAGCACCAAAAATAACAGTTTGCAAAAATAACACTGCAAGATCTTTATATGACACAGTAACCCACTTAATGTCGGAGTATCCATAACTGGGTTTCTCTTACTCACAATGCTTAAGCAGGCTGTTATGTTTGTGAGGTCATATGTGGGTTAATGGCAGACATTTCTGTGCATGCTTACTGGTAGAGACACATTCTCAAACTTAATGACATTAATTTGATCTTTACATGAACTGAAATCTAACATTGTAGTTGAACTGGTGGGCTAAAAAATGACTTTAGACACTACTGTAGTCATCATAGTTATGTCACCTGTTTATATATCTTTTATTACCCCTTTTATTTTTTATCATGCACTACAATCCATACTGTCTTTTTCTATTGACATTTTCCCAACATGTTTATTTGTATATTAACAAATGGATTTCTCTCTGAATGTAGCTCCAGAAAGCGGTGGGGCCAGAGATCACCAAAAACGATCTGGTCCCGGCCTTCCAGAATCTTCTGAAGGACTGTGAAGCTGAGGTCCGCGCTGCTGCAGCCAACAAAGTCAAAGGTGATAAAATAATAACTGATTTAAACCCTTAATTCCCGAGGGAGACATGAGTTGCATGGGTTAAATTTAGGGCTGCAACGATTCCTCGAGTAACTCCATTACAAAATATAATCGAGGAATTTCCTCTGCCTCGAAGCCTCGTTTAATTAAACTTAAAGCTCACGTTTTGCACGGATTCTTTTTAGTGTGACACAACGTGCTTACGTCACAGGCTATGCGTCCCCTTCAGTGGTGGGTAGTACGGCGCTTAAGATTACGGTGTATTTATTTCGTAACGGAGTAATCTAATTACTTTTCCATCGTTCATACGCCGTTACTGAGAATGTAAGTGCCGTTACTACAGTTTTGTGAAATGAGCGGTGTCGGCTTCGCGGGACCGAAAACAGCGAAATGAGCAAACACAGCAAAGCGAAAGTAATAAGAGAAGAGACAGAAGTGTTGAAGGTGTGGGTTATTTAAAATTAAAAAATGAAGGACAACGGGCGCCGGTTAGTCTCAGTCCGGTAGAGCTGGCGACCCAGTTACGGAGTTGTTGCAGCGGCTGGGTTCGAATCCGACCTGTGCCCTTTTCTGGTGTCATCCCCTCCCTCCACCCACCTTTCCTGTCATCTTCAGCTGTCCTAATCCAATAAATCCATGAAAAGGCCCAAAAAAAAGAATTAAGACAACATCGTGGTTTCGAAACATTGCAAGATGGAGGCTGGGTACGATAGTTGAAGTAATTTTATTTGTTTTTATTGGAATTTTGACGAAACTGTTTACTACTTTGCATAATATGTATAATAAATAAATGTCAGTTTTTTCTAAAAGAAACAAATAGTGTTGTTATTATTAAGTGATCTTTCTATCTGTAATTATAATTGGGCTTTAATAAGAAAGTATCGTTTACCAATAACTCATTAATCGATGGAATATTCGATAGAATACTCCGATTACCAAAATATTCGATAGCCCTAGTTAAATTGAACGTCCTTAAACTTCTTGTCTGTCCCATATTTGATTGACAGTGTGCTTTTCTTCTTCTCTTTAGAATTCTGTGAGAACCTCCCAGAGGACAGTCGTGAGCAAATCATCATGACTCACATTCTGCCCTGCGTCAAGGTAAAAAATAAACCTTTCTGTCTGCCACGTCGTGATATTTCTCAGGTGCTTCACTTCACAATTGAACAAAAAAACACTTTGATTTGCTATGAGTTATTAAGCACGGAGAAGGACTAGGGTTATCTTTTTATAGTCTTCCCTAAAGCGTTTATGCAGACATGTGGTGTTGTGACGTTCTCTTCAATGGAAACTGTTGTTTTTACAACTTGGTCTTATTTTTAATCTATTTTGATAATATTTTATTTACAGATATCAGCAACTACGGTTTGTAATGTGGTAAAACACTTGTATAAATACATAACTAAACTATGTCTGTTATACAATGGATAAAAACCAGTATGCTCATAATAACTACAGTTGGTTAAAGTTTAAGCAGAAAGCTGCTCTGTTAAAATTGAGCTCACATTTACAGTTTAAATTTTTACATTAGCCTCTATTTTCTTTTGCAGCTGTGGTATAACTGTGGTTTTGTTTACAAGCTCCACATTGTTTGCCTGACCATTTTTTCCCAGATCTCAGCAGTTGAGTAAAAAATGTTAAACTGGCCCAAACTATGTCAATAAGAACCAAGTTGTAAACACAAACCCATTAACAAGATCCTTGGATCGCACAATAGATAAATTTTCGGGAATGTAAATGTTTCCACTGCTCTAAACTGACACAGCATTCAGATCCACACACACAAAAAGGAAAAAATGGTCTGACTACAAGAAGCAGCCAACTTTTAGATACCAAAAGATGCCTATTAAAGTAACCCCAACCTTCAGTGGCTCTAAGCTGATGTTTTGTGTTCTGGTTACAAAAGACAGGGTAAGACATTGCGTCCGTGGTGTTGGTCATATTTTGAACAGCAGGTGGCACTGTTGTTGTTTTTGTTCAACAATAAATTCAGCTGTAGTGTAACTGATTTTAAAAAAAAATCTTATATCATTCAGTAGATTTTAAGGTCACTAATGGTAGAGGCAGTACCATTAGTGTAAAACATATCAATCTATGGACAAAATGTGTCCAGATCTGACAAAGGTACAGATCATTGTCTCGAAAGATATTTGTTTATCCTGTCAACATATCAACAGTGGAACAAAGCTATAGAGGTAGCAACAAACGGACACACAACCTGACAAAGCTGTGAGAACTTTATATAAATAAAATTAAAGCTGTTGCTATAAAGTGTATGATTATTGCAAAATGGAAATTGATCAGGTTTAAACCTAGCCTGGTAAATATTGGTTGGTGCAGTTCTGTTTGATATAATCAGTGAACCTTAAAATGATAACAGGCAATTTCTGTGCCCTTGGTTAATTTTATGCCATTTCTGTTTCTGTCAACAGCGTTTGTGAAGTTATTCCACCTACAGTAGTTAACGACAATGAATGCCTTTTGCCTGCACTAGAATTAAGTCCATTTTGCTGTGTATTTACAGAAAGGCAGGCTATAATCGACTTGTGCGTAGTGTGTTGTGACTATGACCCATAGCAGTAGTCTTGATGTTTATTTACGTACTCTGTGTCTTAACTGTTTGTTTGTGCTGATCTCTCATCTCTCTCTCTGTCTCCAGGAACTTGTTTCGGACACCAACCAGCATGTGAAGTCAGCCCTGGCCTCAGTCATTATGGGCCTTTCAACCATCCTGGGCAAGGACAACACAATAGAGCACTTGCTGCCTCTCTTCCTGGCTCAGCTCAAGGACGAGGTAAAGGAAATACAGACTTGTAATCGTAGGCCCCAATTTCTCTCTTAGAGTTTACACAGCTGGCTTTGAAAGTCCTCAAGGCAGTGCTTAGTTCGGTAACATTCACAGCAAAAGCTTCCTGTGAAGTGTCTGAGATCGACCAACTTCTTTGGCCTTTAGCGATCAGCATGTCTGAGAAGGGGTAAAGCCACTTAGCTGCAGCCACTAGATACACCTGGCTGGGTAGGAGGATGATTCATACAGTTGGCAGCCAGACTGAGACCTTACAATTAGAAGACTGAATTGCTGTGTCTAGAGAAGAATAATGAAAAGATGGACGCAGTGCAACTAAAGTTATTGCTTGATGCATTTTGATTGTATGTACAGTAGTAAATGTAGGTATTTACTGGTTAAAGTAGGTTGAGTACAGCTGCGCTCCCAGCAGCACATGTTGCACAGAGGATTTCTTTGCAGTGTCTTTGGACATCTTTCATCAGTCTTTCTGCATTTGAACGTGTTATTTTAGTGACTTTCAGTATTAGAAATGATTTGTTTCTGGAGCTGTTAACAGTAACATGGTACAGAGTGTGTGTTGGGTCTGCATAACCAAAAAAGCTGGGCTGGGTTTTAGCTGATGAATGTCCTCACACATTGTTCTTCTGATTGCTCATCAAACCATAGCCCAGTCACATATTGTCCAACGGACACATTTCCATGACATTCTTTTGTCTATTGAGATCAGACATGAGTTTGGCAGAGTAGATGCAAAGGTATATAAATGTTTTGGACGGCTTGAGGCTGTCTGTTCTTCCATTGCTTTCCTCAGTCCTATTTAAAGATGGCCCAATTTCCTCAGCACAAACAGAAGACCAAGAGTGTCTAATTAGATTACAGTCCAAACTGACAGCTTTGACTTGCAGATTTCAATAATTCAAGGTGCATCTATCTGAGGACAGTTTTTAAAAGGGAGCAAGATGAATGTTCGGCAGACATGAAATTCATTCAATAGCTGAATGCCGCCACTCTGCTCCCACGTAATTGACAATCGTGCCTGAGAGTGTCACAGTACAGGTGATACATGCAATATGTGGATGAAAAGGTCCGTTGAGCTTTTCCAGTTGTTAATCTCCTGTTGGAGTCAAACTTACAGCAGATCTCCATTTAAGGCTGTTGGATATAATCCTGGGTTACATTATTGCAGAAAAACCAACTTGGAAGTCTATCTTGTTTAGAGTGAGTAAAGTGGCTTGCCTTGACAAGAGCCAAGACATTTTCACTTTGGAGAGATTAATCTTCTGTAGTTGTTTGATATGAAGCCAGATGTTTGTTTTACTTATTTGAATAACTTGTTGTGATGAAGGCACGGAGCGATGAGTTTCACTTGTCCATCTTAATCCATTTTCTGTCACAGTGCCCCGAGGTGCGTCTCAACATCATCTCCAACCTAGACTGTGTGAACGAGGTGATTGGCATCCGTCAGCTCTCCCAGTCTCTGCTGCCAGCCATTGTGGAGCTGGCAGAGGATGCGAAGTGGAGGGTCCGCCTCGCCATCATAGAGTACATGCCCCTGTTGGCAGGACAGCTGGTGAGTTAGGACGTCTAGAAACACAGCTGAGGCCCATATAAAATATGTTTTAAAGCTCTTTCTAATTAGTAACATGCGTAGAAGCAGAGACATTAGAAATGTTCAGACAAACAGACTTTATCAGGTCTGACTGTAGACGGTGCTCTAATTACACTGCGTCCATGTTTTCCCAGGGAGTGGAATTCTTTGACGAGAAACTCAACACCCTCTGTATGGCCTGGCTTATTGACCACGGTAAGGCACTCTTATGGGTTTTCCATGTCAGATATTAACAGACTGAGCTCATCCAATTCATGTACTATGGCTTGGTGTGCCACAATAGTATGTCGTTTTTATGTAATTGGTTGCTTAAACAGAGATGCTTATGCAAGAAGCTTTTTTGGCAATGTTTTATTTTATTTAAATTTTTTCTATGAATACGGATTTAGTTCCAAATATGTTTTCTAGTGTCAGTTATGTTATTACAGCACCATAACCTCCCACAAATCCCTCTTTCCCACATTTTCCAGTTGTGATCATTTTGACTTGCTGGGGCCCTTGGTACTCTGCAGCAGCCACTGCCTATTTTATTCTTTTACTTGAATGATCCAGCTCCTTCTACATCTGCTCTATTTTCACTGCATGTGTCAAGGTTATTGGTTGGAAATACTGTTGTATTTGACTTTGGTTTTCCATATCTTAGAGCATCACTGCTCTTACGCACCTGAGCTTGGCCAGTTGGCAAACACTTCTCCTCTTAGCACTTTGATTCTGTAATATTACCAGAACAAAGAGCTTGTGGTCGAAGGGAATGGATTGATAAGCACAGAGCGTGTGAGTGTAAAAATTGGGGGGCTAACGCAGGGGAGAGATCTGTTGCTGTCTGCCATCAGTTACAGCCTGTTAAAAGGCAAAATAGGAGGCCCTCTGCTCTCTCTCATGTACAGTATACTAGAGCTGTGAGCAGGGGAACAGCAATGTGAACTACATGCTGTAGTACAATGGTTGTGACAAGAATGTCTGTCCCCAGTCTCACCATGGGACAGCTGCTCTGTTACACTGCTTTCTGTATGCATTACTTCACCAGGCCACAACTTGCACTTCATGCTATGTATTTATGCTGTAACTTAAAAACCCACTCGGGAGACAATCGCTCATATTCAAATGCTGGAAGAGTGAGAATGGTTTACCCATAGAGCTACACAATGCACCCTGCCACATCTCCTAACCTACAACACTGGCTTTTGCATACATCTTTCACTCAGTGTATAGTGTTCTCTTCACATTGAGTTTTCCAATTAGAGACACACGCTCACTATTGAGGACAAAGGGTCAGCTGGGTTACATCATTGGAATGCTGCTGGTGTGAGTTTCCATATATACGTACGTGTGTGTGTGTGTGTGTGTGTTTGGCTATGGCTGGGGCAGTGCCACCCTTACGTAAGCTCTTCAAAGAAAGACAGGACTACAGAAATCAGCCCAGAATCTTTCCCTCACTGATACAAAGAGATCTCTCTGTATCACTTTAACATTTCACATGACATACATATTCCATTATTTCTGGTGTTTTATCATACCGATGCATTTCTCACAGTGTATTTATAGCATACTGAGTAAATTCTATACAGACTTTGTAAGAAGTTATCATCATTAATATAGCATAGTACCACAGATTTTGCCTCAAGGGGCTTTACAATCTTTACAGCATACAACACACTCTTTGGTTTGGATGAGGGAAAAACTAGAAAGAGGAGGGGTCCCTCTCCCAGGATGGACAGACATGTATGTGTACAGAATAGACCAACATAGGTACATTACAATACAGACGATGGGGATGACATTATAGATGGTAAACAGGTATGAATAATATAATCTGAAAGACATTGACATCCATCACATGATCTCCTGCCGTGGAGGCGGGACAAGAGACAGCATTAACACACACCATGTTGTCACTGTACCTCTCCAGTGTATGCCATCCGTGAGGCTGCCACCTGTAACCTGATGAAGCTGGTGGAGAAGTTTGGAGCTGAGTGGGCTCAGAACACCATCGTGCCCAAAGTTCTGGGCATGGCCAACGACCCCAATTACCTCCATAGGATGACTACTCTATTCTGCATTAATGTGAGTCAGTGGCATCGTCTCCCATAGGCTCCTTTCCTTTGTTACTTTGATGGGGATTTGTTTGTGTTTGTAGTTGCCATAGTTCACTTCTGTCAGCCTTGTTGACCACCTGCTTTGTTTGTCTCAGGCTTTGTCAGAGGCTTGTGGCCAGGACATCACCACTAAGCAGATGCTACCAGTGGTCCTCAAGATGTCCAATGACCAGGTGGCCAACGTACGCTTCAATGTGGCCAAGTCCCTTCAGAAGATCGGCCCTGTCCTTGACAGCAAGTATGTTGTCTCTCCGCAGTGACACAAATGTGGGATTTAAATCAAGAACCAGCGTTGACAGTCTGTTTAATAATTCTCACTGTCTTTGTCCCAAAGTGCCCTTCAAACAGAAGTGAAGCCAGTGCTGGAGAAGCTGGCCACAGACACAGATATGGATGTCAAGTACTTTGCCCAGGAGGCCATCAGTGGTAAGCATTTCTCTCTTCTTCTGTCACTGAATACAAACTTTAAATGCCACAGATATATATATATATATTTAACCTGTTTGAAACTTTAATGTAGTAAAAACATCTTATTCTTTTGTTTTTTTACACAGTTCTGGCTCTAGCATAAAACCAACCCAACATGGCTAAACCAGACAACCACCCGAAACAACAACGCAAACACTTTTACAAGATATTTATTGATGTGCAGGAACAACTGGTTAATGTATAGAGAAAGCTGTTAACAATTGTTTTATCCTTTTTTCTTCTTATCCTTTTGTTTACTGTCCAATGGTAGACCATGTCCAGTCATAGCACAGACTTCTTCGTTAACCTTCCTCTTTGCTGTAAATGGGTGCTTTTAACAAAGGCAAAGTGATGAATTTGCATTAAGTGGTGCATGCTGACTAATGTGCTACTGTACTAGCTAGGCATCGCTAACCAGAACCCCTCTCACATTCCTCCCTTTTCCATCCATGGCCACTGTTGTACTTTAGCCACAGTCGTTGCAGCGTACCATGTCTATGTTCGCTACCAAGCACCGAGGGTCACGCTAGCTCTCTAACTTTGAGCAGCAGATGGTTCAACGAGCTGTTTATTTTGCAGAGCTTCCTCCCGAATCTGCCCTCTGATAGCTCTCTTTTCCCTGAGACACTGGTGTGGCTCTCCAGAGAAGTGATTGAAAGCTCTGTGCAGGTCTATAGTAGGCGGTCGTATTTTTTTTTATTTTTTTCCCACCAGACAAAACCTGCTGTGTCTCCTAAATGCTAAACGGGATTGTTCTGTACAAAGCTTTGACAAAGAAATAATGTGGTGTCCATTACTGCATGTAATCTGATGAACCTGCTCAGTGATTGCATGTACAAGTCAATCTCAAATAGTGTCCTTTCCCAACTCTATATACCAGACTCCCCTGCCCTTCTGCACTGTTCTCTGCAGCAACACACATTGTGTTGGTCTAATAAAGGAATTACCTCAGCCCGTCGTAACGGGGACCAGCTCGGTCGTAAAAGTGTTGCTCATAATTATCCCTCCTCCAAATCCTCGCTGACTTTGTTGATGTGCTTGGGTGGGAAGCTGTAGTCAGGTGTGATTTTCTGCAATATGTTCTCGGCATTGCTCTTAATCTTCGTGCCAATGACTTTGATAAGCAGTGGTGTTTTTCTTTTTAGTATGCGTGGGTAAACAGTTTTCACCTGTCCTGTTCCGTAAAGAGACACCGTTCTGTTCTGTAAGGGACACTTTATTCCTCGGACTTTAATGGGATGTTATAACTAAATTGACAACAGCTGCAAGGGCCGTGAGATAAAAAAAACAAAAACCCATGGCACTCCTTGTGTCCTAGAGCCACCCAGTTTTCTCAGAAATCCCTGCAAAGTCCTCCACTGTACATGAGATTTAAAAGCATACGGTCAGCAAACACGCGATTTGGCAACCTGTGGGTTCTTGCTTACAAACATCTACACGATGGAGAACGAGTGCATGCTTTCGAAGAAAGTGGGATGGGGGACGTGGAGCGTGTGTACGTTAGGCTGCAAAATGTTTTATTATGGGGTGGGAGCTGGGGTGGTTATGGGCGGGTTGAATAAATGTATCGTCTGTGTTGATAAAAGAAACTTTTGTCTTTCCCTGAACTACTCCCACTGTCCCCTTCTCCTCCCCTCTCATTTTGTTCTCTTGAATAAACCTTGATTGTTGATTGTCCTGTATCACGAAGACTGCTTTTTATTTTTATTTTGAATTCTCTTCATAATTGGGATGCTGTACTACTGTATCTTGATCTGAATAAAGTAACACAAAGGAACCAGTGTCGCCTCCTGTTACAACTAGTTTCTGCTCAAGTACATCAAGGCCTCTTGTCACTGTAATTGCCAATTTGCTACATGTTGAGAAGCAACAGGAAACGACTGTCAAAACAATCACTTTATTAGAATCTATAATGAATTACCAGCCGAGTATACAGTGCCTATAAACAGTATTCACAGAGTCAGATATTGAACAGAAAAACATTAAAAGTTAAAATACGTCACTACATATAGCTCTTAAGTTACAGTTAATAAGAAAGCTATGAAAATGTAAAGATAAAATTGTGTTTCCTTCATGTAAAGATAAAGATGTCCAGATGACTGGGCAACTTGCTACCAACCCAGAAACACAATTAGTACCTTTTTATAATCAATAAAATCACTCCCAAGTTAAACATTAAAATATAAATCATGCAAATGTTAGCAAGGATGTTTATACTTCCACATCCAAAGTTCTCCATGGGCCAAGCTTTTTGCTCATTTCTACCACAAGAGAACTATATGATGTGTATATTAAAGGAGGGGTGACTCATTCTGGAGAAACAGTTGATTGAGTCTCATTCTCAAATACCAGTGCTTTGGGTCGGTGGCTCAAAGACACTTAACCGTCCAGTCTCATTTGTTTTGGTATTTAACGACCTTGGAGCACGAACGCTGCCTGTTGTGTGACTCACTCCCAGCCACTTTGTTTATTTCCCCATTTACTATAACCCAAAGCGTCTGTGTTTGACGACCTGGGAATGAGACTCAACGAGTTCCACCTTTAAACGTTTCATGTATGTGTGCTTGCTGAAATTTTTGCATTTGAAACATTTGAAATAGTTGAAATACTTAAAGACGTTTAGGAGGCAGTCAAAATGCAGTTGGTAAAAGTGCTGAAAGAATAAAGTGTTGAAGTGTAAACGTGGAGTGAAGTTGAGGGATCAGTTAAGTAAATGTGCCTCAAAGTTGAACTCGTTTGAGTGAAACCAGATGAATCCTCAGCTGAAGAATAGGATGAAAACAGTTAAAAGGTGACTTGTTTCATCCATAATTTAAGAATTAATACGCTAATTATTTCACACAAATGCATAATAAAATGATGACATTTTATATCCCAAAGGTCAAAGTCACTGTGACATTGATTTTTTCTGGCCATTATTCAACACTTTACCTCAGGAACAGAAGTGGAGATCGTGACCATATTTCACACTTGGTCAGATACTGAATTGGTGAAACTAATCCTGGCTGCCCACCTTGAAACTGTGGAGACTGTAAGGACCTTCTGTGCTGCCGGGTTGAAGATGTGTATGAAGCATCCACATTTTACAACGTGTAGCTTCTTTGCAGCACCATCAGTCAGCTTTATTGGTCAAGCATGTGAACACATACAAGAAATTTAATTTTTTGTTTCTCTCAATGAAATGTCACACTAATATACATACAGCATTAGTTCACCTCAACCTCATTGGTTTTGCTGATCGTGCTTCAGGTGGCTGTGCACCATTTGACCTCTGTAAAATATAATGTATAATATTTTATTAAATTCCTTAAAAGTCTTCACTACATATGTGATATGTCTGTACAGACATGGATTTAAACTGCAACTTGACTGCTTGGAAGCATTAATTCTATTTATCCCAAACTTTTTGTTTTGCAAAACTGCTCAAGCTTTGCTAAAGCTACACGGTCACCACAAGTGCACTACAATTTTTAATTCCGGACAAAAATTCTGGCTTGGCTTGAGGTCTGGACTCTGACTTAGCCACTGTAGGACTTAACATTGCTGTTTTGAAGCCAGTCCTGTGTAGCTTTGGCTTTATGTTTGGGCTCCTTGCTCTTGCTGGAAAATAAATCTACCCAGTCACAGTTCTTTTGCAGACTGCAGCGTGTTTTCCTCGAGGATTTCTCTGACTTTTACTGCATTAATTTCCTCCTCAATCTTCACGAGCCTTCCAGGGCCTGCTGCAGAGAAGCGTCCCCAAAGCAGGATGATGCCACCCTCAGGCTTCACAATAGGGATGATGTGTGTCTCTGGTGATGTGCTTCCAGCAAACAGTGTTTATTACAGTGCAAGAAAAGCTCAATTTTGGTCGAGTATCAGAGTTAAAAAAAAGGGCAGAATTATATCCTCTGTTATTCTGTGAAGTAAAAAGTCCAAGATTGATAAATACTCTTTGTGGGATTTGTAACAATATCCTTTTAAGCGTAAAGTGTAGCTTCTCAGCCTGTGAACGACTCGAGAAAATGTGGGATTAATTTCACATGTTTCTGGTCTCATATTTGGTCAGCTCTAACCTGGCAGGCAGCTGCTGTGGAGATGAAAGCGCAGGTCCTTCGGGCTGTTTTGGCCACAGGGAACCACGCAGAGCGGGGCAGGATCTGCAGCTGACACCTGCCCTCACCCTGACTACTGCTGGGGAGAGGAACGCTGCAAAATAAGGGCTGGGTTGAGCAACCTTTGTCTTCCTCGGGCAAGTTTAGTTTGAATCTATGGAAAACATGTTTTTATCTGTTTTTATCCTCGTTTTCATGGTGTTTCATGCAAAATGAACACCACAAAGTGAGCGTTTTTTTCCTCAGTGGATCTTCAGTTTTTGGCAATTCCAAATGAGCAATCAGCAGAGAGGATTAGGGGCAATAAATCACATGGCAGAGATCTTTATGAGAATCTCAACCTTCCTTTTTTAATCTCCTCAAATCTCCCATCAGCCCTCCTTCAGTGCACATGTGCACTCCCAATCCTCCAACCGGCCCTTTTCACTGTATCCATCCATCCTCATCCAGCCAGAGCACATTATGCACATACACTGTAATGCACAGGTCGGTGTAGCTGCTGTGTGTCAGCACATCCTGCTACAGTGAGACCACCTCGAGAGCTATTTAGAATATAGAGGCTCCGAGGCAGGATGAGCGTCTCAAGAAATGGTGCGAAGTAGGAGGATTGATGTAAGATGGAACCTCTGCGAGTGATAACATTAAACCAAGAGGGTTTTTTTTATTAGCACGACGCAGGAGGAACATGCCAAGCTTTGAACTGCAATTTTTGTCCTACAACCTAAAATCTTCATTAAAACACGATTACTTGAGGGCGAGGGCTAATCCGTCCCTCCTAAATCCAACTGGAGTTCATGAGGCAGTAATGAAACAGCAGCAACCTATTTCTTTCTATTTAGATCCTGTTATTTGGGGAGGATTTTCAGCAGCCAGAGCCCTTGACAGCACTGAGAGCCCTGACGTCAATGCAGCTGCCTCCCAGGACTGTGTCATTTATAATGAAAGGAGTCAAGCAAAGCCCCCACGCAGCAGCACGGCACACACACACACACACA